AAGTGAGAAACAAACCGCTTTTTAGCTAAGGTCCGGCAAGACATAGCGCAAGATTCTGCACAAGATTCTCGGACAGGGGCAAGCAGCACGAAGGCATGACGGCACAAATTGACAGCCTAGATTCCTAGATGCCCGCGCCTACAGACTTACAAGGTCCATTGACAAGAAAGCGCTGGGCATTGAACAACTGGCGTCAGCTTAGCAAGTCTTCAGCGGTTTGTCTCGCGTCCTGCCTTTGGGCGGCGGAGCGCAGATGGCTGAAGGTCAGAACTTCGATCAAGGCTTTCGATTACAGGCAGCATGCTGGCCCGGGTGTGTCGACTGACCTCACACGACTCAGGACCTGCGAGGCTGTGAGGCCTGCACTGCACGCGCGTTTTTTCATCGAAGTGACACGTGAAAAAAGAGGAAATCTTGACAGCATGACGTGCAACCCGAAGGCCCTTGCCATGTCCAACATTACCTCACCGTCAAGATCCGCTGCAAGATCATGGGAGACACATGGGGCACGTGCAGGCCGCTGACGCAAGCCTCATCTTTGCAGACCATGCTCGCAGCCTGCAGTGGCAGCGCTCAAGGAAGAAAATGAAGAAGCGATTCTTTCAGTTTTTGACAACTTGTCAAAACTATCAGCTCTGTGATGCTGTATGCATTCTCTACAATATTCCGCATTACGACTTCCCACGCTCGCCGCTAAGTTTGTCTGCACACGCGCTGCGTGTTCAGCTGTGTGGCAACTTGTGGCCGAGATGCAGTCAGCCCTGCGAACACCAGCCGACATCTGGATACACGGGCTCGGCGAAATTAAGTTCGACAAGTGCTGCCTAAGCTAGCTCGTTTGCAAAATCTTTCTGGTGCTTGCAGTATAGGATCTACTGTTGCTGTCATGAAACAAGTGCTGAGTTCCAGTGTGGCATGACCTAGACAAGCCTAGGTCCTTCCCTGATGCACTCTGCAGCAACCTTGTATGTGCGTCGGCTTGAGGCAAGCTTAAGCTGCGCAACAAGACTCATGCACAGGACGCCTTCGTGTCAGGGTGCCTGGGCAGAAGGTAGCACTGAGTGCCCAATACCCATCGCGACCCACACTTACAACACTCCTGCAACCAATGCCGCGAGCCCAGCTTGCTGTAATTTTGGCTACAGGCGCCGTGTGGTTCCCGCCAAGCATTGGTTTCTTGAATAGGTGCAGAACTGGTGCACCTGATCAGGTTTTGCCTAGTATCAGGATTACTTCCGCCTCCTCCGACTGACAAACATCAAAAGGGCACTGGCAAAGACAGCTAAAGGCACTCGAATCACTCGAAGTCCTCCAGCTGCTAAAGCGGATGAACGCGCAGTGAATGTTTTCTCGCAATTAGCTGAAAGTGTCGAGCCTCTTGCGACTCAAGGGGCCCCTTATTGGGCCGAGAGGTTAACGGCAACAACTGTTGCACATGCTCAACTGCTTAGACAGATGGATAGCCTGTGCATGCAACGTGTATGCGTCAGCTCACACTGACACGGAAGGAAAACTACAAGAATGCAACGCGAAGTCCCGGAGCCAAAGAGATCATCGCATGCTCGTTGAGCGAACTCATTTTATCTCACCGCACAGTCCAAGCACCCCATTCGGATTCCCGCATTGGTGTGAAGCGCGGGTGGCTGTTCCATCGCGTATAAGTGCAAGGGCCTTGAATGCCAACTGTGGCACGTGTGGGTTGCTCGCGTAGTGTTCCTCGATTGAAGTTTTGCCGTTGCGCTTGCTCCAACCTTTGGTTTGTTTCTTCGAAGTCTCGCCGCAGATTGTTGAGCTCATCTTTGGTCTCCTTGAATCTTTCAGACATTCCGCGAATTTCCGCTTGCAACTCGACATTGTAGTGGGTCAGCACTTCAATGCTGGAATCCCGCTCGTGCACCATGGTCTTTAAGGTACCCAATCTCAATGTCTGGCCGCATGCCTGTGGTTTGAATTTGTGCCGTTGTTGTCCTTGAGACGGTCCCGGGGCTCGTTGACACTCGTAGTCTTGCTGCGCTCGTAGAGGTCGGACTCGCTGGTGATTGCCAGGAGGTAGAGGATGAGGTCGTTGACGTTGGCGTGTTCGAGGTTGTGTTGTCTGCGTTGTCATAGTCGAACTCTTCCACCAATTCCAGACGAAGCCGAAGGCAATGAGGATGACCAGGAGGTTGATAGCCCACTGCAGGTCGACGAAGACCGTGAGTAGCATCGTAACACCGAATCGGTCGAAGTTCATCTCCGGGAGGTCCACGTGGTTGGTCGCGTCGACGACTGTCATCTCATTCGCCAAGACTGTAGCAGCCATGACTGCACGGGCCCGTTGTCCGTCTCCATCGAACAGGGCCTTGTAGTAGTGGCGACGGCTGCAGAATCGGTAACTCAACAAACTTGACATACAGACGATGCAGCGACGTGCATTATCTCATCCGAGCTGCTTGATCTGAGGCTCGACATGTGCGGCCAAGCGGTCGTAGCATCGGGAAATCATTCAGATCCAATTGCTGTAGCTGATGCTCTGAATCCTCCGCACCTCCACCAAAGGAAAATAAGGTCAAGCAGAAACAAATATTTTCCGAAGCCAAGCTCCCAGCGCACAAAGCGCAAAGAAGGGGGGAAAGCCTGCGAAAGAGACTTCTGAACACCTTTGCTGTCGTGCTGCCGACTCAGCGCCGCACGCCACGCCCGGTGTAGCGCCTGCGTCGGTGCCGCTTTTGCATGAGCGGCCGCAGAATAGTCGCAGGAGGAGATGGCTTGAACGCGTGGCGCCGAGTGCCGGGCTTGCAGTGCCAGTTGATCTCGTCAAAGGCGGCCTTGTTGAGGCAAAGCCTGCAACCGGAGGCAGAGTCGCCAGGCAAAAAACACAGGTGCAGTCGCTGAGTGCTCGCCTGAAGGGCGGTTTGCTCTTCCACATCTCGCCGGTGACATAGTCGCGGCCTGTACAGACCGAACACGTTTTGGCGCGCGCAACGGTGGCACGTTTCTGCAAAGTCAACGCATGAGGCCCCGGCGGCCCAGCTCGTTGCAGAAGCGCTTGCCCTCGGCGTTCAGTATGATGCCGCCCACGCCGCGGAGGGCCTCAGGAAGCAGGCAGGGACGGGCGGGCGGAGCAGCGGTGCAGCGCGCTCCAAAGCAGACACGGCAGATGCTGCAACATCTGCCATGGCAAGGTTCCCCCCTGCGGCGGCCTCGGCGGCGAGGAACTTCATCTTGGCGTCGGCGTCGTCGGGCTTCGCAAGGCCCATGGGGTGGACATGCACCCACTCGAGGTCGACGCTCTTCGCGCCGGTCTCCTCGCCCATCT